AGTGGCCATGATGAAGGCTCAGGGACATACTGTGCCATCCTCAAGAGGGGAGAGTAGCAGGAGGGGTGATAGCCAGCGAGAAGGTTTCTGTTATAACTGTGGAAGAGATGGTCACTATGCCTTGGACTGCCAAAACAAGACAGATCATGCAAGGGTATCTCAGAGATTGCAGCAGACCATTAGGAAGCTTCAGGGAAACACCAACAGTGCTTGGGGAAGGAGCAACCCAAGACCCTGAAATTCCAAGGCTCCCCAGAAAAAAACACAAACAGGGGTTACACAACTAAGGGGGGATATAATAGAGGTCTATAAAATCATGACTGGTGTGGAGAAAGTAAATAAGGAAGTGTTATTTACTCCTCATAACACAAGAACTAAGGGTCACCAAATGAAATTAATAGGCAGCAGGTTTAAAACAAACAAAAGGAAGTATTTCTTCACACAACGCACAGTAACCTGTGGAACTCCTTGCCAGAGGATGTTGTGAAGGCCAAGATTATAACAGCCCTGAGAGTAAATTAGAAAAAGATCTATTTTATTGTAATATAATCAGACACCCTGAATTTTAACATTATCTTAAAACATAGGGACAGGAAGACAAATCACAAACAGAGGCAAGTTCCCCATTGTCTGAATGGAAGTGAGGGAAAATGGATATTCATATTTCATGAAACTATAGCTATCCAGAATCATTTACACTAATGCCCATTTAAACCGCTGCTCTGGCTGTGTAAAGGGGGCTTAAAATGGATATCAATATAACTAGGGCCTACCAAATTCACGGTCCATTTTGGTCAATTTCACAGTCATGGGATTTAAAAAATCATAAATTTCATGATTGTAGCTATTTAAGAACATAAGAACAGCCATACTGGGTCAGACCAAAGGTCCATCTAGCCCAAAGTAGTCAATGGTTATTAGCCAGGATGGGCAGTGATGGTGTCCCTAGCCTCTGTTTGCCAGAAGCTGGGAATGGGTGACAGAGGATGGATCACTTGATGATTACCAGTTCTGTTCATTCCCTCTGGGGCACCTGGCATTGGTCACTGTCGGAAGACAGGATACTGAGTTAGATGGACCTTTGGTCTGACCCAGTATGGCTATTCTTAAATAGCTCCAATTATGTAGTAATTTTTGTTGTCAGAAGGGGGTTGCGGTGCAATGAAGTTTGAGAATTGCTGATTTAGATATTTTATTGTTGCTAGCTTCATGATTTTATTCCAAGTCCTATGGTATTTTGTGTTTCCTCCAAGTCCCAACTCCTGGAATCTTGTGAAAATATGAGACTCTCAGCCTTCATTTAAAACAGAGTAAGCTCCTAGCCCTGATAGTTGTTGAGAAAAACTTGAAAATGTGAGACAAGTGCACCCTAAAGATTCAAAAACCAAAAGGCAAATAAAAAGAAGCCAAAGGTTGGATGGATGGAGATTTTAAGTCAATCTTATGTTTTCTTCAGGCCATGATTTTTGAACACTTGGAGTTGGCAGTTCTGACAGCGGTAATGATTACTCTTTGTTTTCAGTGAAAAAACTCAGAGGGGGTGAAATCTACCCCTGTCCATTAGACCAGGCTTGCCTGAAAATAGGTTTTAATGAATATGAAGTGGTCCATAGGAATTGTGCTGACCCTCAGCTCAGGATGAATTTCATCCCCAATGAATTGAGTTCTCATTTGGACTCTTCACAGAATCAATAACTGTTTGGTATAAACCCAAAAGATCCAATATTTAATATCTAGTGGATTTTTATAAGGTCAGTAATAACTTGAATTTATACAACATCTTCCATCCCAAAGCACAATATAGACAGATAGGAATTAAAATACAGCTCTCTCTCTTGTGAAGAATAGCAGCACTGGCGACACATAGAGTTTCATTAATTATGGAATATTTCATTTGCATTGTGCATGGAAGCCTGGAGAGAGCAATAATACAACAATCAGAGATCTCACAAACAGGATTAGGGTGGCTTGGCAGCAGTCAGACTACGTCTACACTAGGAGCACTTTACTGATATGAGAATACCAATATACTGTACTGGCAAAGTATTCCTAGTATGGATGCAGCAATACCAGAAGCTGCACTTTGTACCAGTATAGTAAAGTACAGTTTTGCTGGTATTACTGCATCTATACTACTGGCTTCTGCCAACACAGCTGTGTTGGTTAGAGAACCACACCTCTTCACATCCCTGACAGATATAGCTCTGCCGGCAGAAGTCTGTAGCATAAACCTGGTCTCAGCAGCACATTACAGTATTTGCCAACAAACAAGATCAGCCTTAAATCTTTTGGTGGCCCAACCACATTAGACCATGCTGATCTCTAAAATGTAGAGATGGGAGAGTTTGTTCCAGTAAAGTTTGTCTGACTACCTTGAAGTTACCTGTTTTGATTGTCCCTAAGGCACTGACTACATCTGCTACATACATCATTAGCAATCATACAGTTTTGTGAAGCCTCTTCACCTGCCCAAAGATTGATCTGAAAACAACAAGCAAAGTTCAATCTTTTCCCACCCAATCATCTAGTTAATTTCATTGTACAGTTACTGTCTGCTCCAGTTACTGTAAGGTAAATAGCCTTCCTGTATCCATTCTGGTTCATGAAACATAGTCTCTGCTGGTATCCTGGGACCAGTGGATAGTTTTTAACATAAAAATAACAACAGACTCACATGTGTGTTTTGTGTCTGTGCTGTAGAAGACCAAAGCCATCTTTCTGTTCTGCTTAATATAAATGTCTGTAACTTGCTATCCAGTAGCTTTGATTTTCTCTGTTTTGATATTCCTGAACTCTAGATGAAATAGCTTTTGCCAGAAAGGAGATTGTAGCATGCATGTTCATGGCTATACTGATAGCTTCATGTGGACAGACTGAAGTGACCATATTGTTTGAGTAAATTTCCAGTGATAACGCTGACCTCTTTCTGTAAAGTGCACATTTACATATATTTAAAATATATAAATCCTTACAGATGCCACAGTATTTATAAGCTTCTGAAAAAAGCCCGAGCAAGGTTGCAGATCTTTGCATTTGTGTCTCTGAGTATGTTTTTAAACTGAGCTTAAATAATAAAAAACTTAGTGGCTTATCCATCCTGCTTAGACTATATTGTTATTTTTCCCTCTGCTTTATTCCGTCCCTTCTAACCCTGTGATTCTATGATGGAAATAGTGATCCTGAGCTTGAAAGCAGGAAAACTGTAACAAGGATCTTCTCAGTTACAGCTACATGTTTAGAGTCTGTCAATTTAATAAGCAGTGTTCTGTTTTTCAAATAACCCATTTTCTTCTCTTGCATTATATTTGAGTCTCAATGAATTGTTGTCGGTTTTGGGATTCAGCTACATTAATGGGAAAGAATGAGAGAGAGTATTTCTCTGAGTAGGAAGGAGAAAGTTGCCTCTAGGGAGGTCAGAGTAAGTGCTTAAGACCTTTTTCTTGCATTTAACTTGAGTATGTCAGGGACTGTGGCAGTGACCAAGATGGAAACTCATTATTTGAGACCTAGCTCATTCAGTGGGTGTGATTGCAAAGCTTCAGATCCCTAAGGTCTTGAGATGGAAAGAAACATAATTGCAATGATAAGAAAAAAAAAGGAAAATTAATTACATAAGGGTCTATTCTCCCATCAATATGTGAGTCGAACTTCTGTTAATGTGAGGAAGAGGAACCTTTGTGCATAGATGGGACAGTATAGATGCCCAGCTGCTGCAATTTAACTCTAAAAAATACAGAGCAGTAATTGTTTTCTGAAACAAATAATGAATGATTAAGTAGCCAAATATTAATGTACTGATGAAAGCTTCTAGATTAGGTAGACATGATCCAGGACAGCTTAAAGTAGCCAATAGCTTGCAATGGTTTATCAAGTTATCCCCAGCCTCCAGATGAAGTAGCTTTTGTGAGGAGGAAGAAGAAGATTGCAGTGTGCAAGTTAGTGCATCAAAAGGCCCAGAGCAGAATAATTCACTTTCACCTTGCTATAGAGGACAAGTACTAGTAAAAGCTACACATTATTGGTAAGTTTATGTGGTGGTGTTGTTTTTTTAAACTTGACACACAGTTCAAACCTCCAGCCACCTCAGCAGCCTTCCAGCTGGGCCTGCTGACGTGACATCTCCCACCTAATCAAGTGGTGGATTATCTTGTCCTGATAAATTGGAGCCCGTGTCAGGTAAAAAGTCTTTCCTGAAGTGCTTCGCTAGCCTGTAGCTAATAGGGTGGTAGGTGTCTGGATCAAACTCCAGAGCTTGTAGTGCACTGTGTTTCTAATGATTTGTAGTGAACAGTGTAAACATTTTAAGGGAAGACATTACTAAACAGGAGCACAGTTAAGCGTGATAAATTTGAGGCCAGGGGAAAAGGAAGCATGAAAGCTGTAGTGGGTATTGTTTCATATTGCACACATAGAGAATGTATTGCTGATTCTAAAGCACTTCTCCTAAAAGTGACTTTTTTATGAACTGTGCTCTTGAGGAATGTACTTGTGTTAAAAAGAAATTCTCCTTGCTTCGCTGCTACATCTTTCTAAGAAGAATCAGAGTTATTGAGTCTTTAGACATTTGCTCATTGTTCTTGTGCTTTTGTGACTAGATTACTGGCCCAACACATTCAGGATAAATAAACTGTTTTCTTTCTCCAAAACCCACCGAGAAAGCCACATAAATTACAAAGGCAAAGAATCTGTGTATGAGGGAGAAATCTAGTTAAGATAAACAAAGATCTTCCCTACAAACATTTATTTTCTTTCTTAGCTTTGCTCATAAACAATAGAAAGGCAATGCTAATTTGTCAAGCAAAGAATGCCTTTATGTACTGTAGTCATTCATATAATGCTGCTTGTAAAACTGTTTTGTTCTTCGTTCATAGGGGAATCCCTACATGTGCAATAATGAATGTGATGCAACTACCAATGAACTGGCACATCCACCTGAACTGATGTTTGATCTTGAAGGAAGACATCCCTCCTCATTTTGGCAGTCTACAACTTGGAAAGATTATCCCAAACCTCTCCAGGTTAACATTACCCTCTCCTGGAACAAAACCATTGAACTAACCGATAACATAGTTATCACATTTGAATCTGGCCGTCCAGACCAAATGATCCTGGAGAAATCACTTGACTATGGGCGAACATGGCAACCATACCAGTATTATGCCACAGATTGCTTAGACGCTTTCCATATGGATCCCAAATCAGTGAAGGATTTATCACAGCACACAGTCCTAGAAATCATTTGCACAGAAGAATACTCCACTGGGTACATGACAAATAGTAAAATCATCCACTTCGAGATCAAAGATCGATTTGCATTTTTTGCTGGACCTCGGCTTCATAATATGGCTTCCTTGTATGGCCAGCTTGACACAACCAAGAAGCTGAGAGATTTCTTTACCATCACAGACCTGAGAATCAGATTGCTCAGACCAGCAACTGGGGAAATATATGTTGATGAGCAACACTTGGCACGCTACTTTTATGCAATCTCAGACATAAGGGTATATGGAAGGTAAGAGAATATGAGTCTTTAAGAATGGGTAAATATGTCTGGCCTTAAAGGATGTCCACAATTTTCTATCCTCCCTCAAAATGTCAGCAATTTCTACTGAAATGTTTTCCCAGAAATGTAGCTCAGTAAAAACCAGTTTCTGAAAGCATTAGACACTTTTGATTCAGCAATTCTAAGTCATCAAAGTTCTACTGTCACTAAACTTGACAAATCTCTGTACATCTTAAGAGTGGAATACTTTTAACAGCTTCTTACACTGGGTCAGGGATGTCCAACCTTTTATGTCTGAGGGTAAAATTCATCCCAGTTTAACAACAAGGAGTCCTGTGGCACCTTAAAGACTAACAGATGTTTTGTTTTTGTGGATACAGACTAACACGGCTACCTCCTGATATTTGATCCCAGTTTAAGGGACACTCCACAGGGCTCTCCAGGCCAGGGTGCCTTTATGGCCTAAAGCCATTGAAATCACTGGGCTTTAATTCAGGCCCTTGCTGTAAGGTGTAATTGGTCTGAAGGGCCTTGGATGAGGCCTCTGCAGTGGGGTGAATTTCACCCTTTCTGCAGGGTATAGTTCTGTTTGAGAGAATGAAGACCATGCAGGCTAGTGTCCCTTACAGATGCTTTAGACTGTTCTAGAATGGAGTGAAGATTAAGTGTAAAAAATAAACAAATGGTTTGAATAACACAAGACTAATTTGGATAGGAACATAGGCATTGCCACATTGCTTTAGACCGGGGTGTGGAGGGATAGCTCAGTGGTTTGAGCATTGGCCTGCTAAACCCAGGGTTGTGAGTTCAATCCTTGAGGGGGCCATTTAGGGATCTGGGGCAAAAATCTGTCTGGGGATTGGTCCTGCTTTGAGCAGAGGGTTGGACTAGATGACCTCCTGAGGTCCCTTCCAAGCCTGATATTCTATGATTCTAGGGGTTATCAAACTGTGGGTTGGGACCCCAAAGTAGGCCATGACCCCATTTTAATGGGGTTGCCAAGGCTGGTGTTAGACTTGCTGGGGTCCAGGGCCCAAGCCCAAGCCCCACTGCCCGGGGCTAAGGTTATATGCCCCCCACTCAGGGCAGAAGCTCTTGGGCTTCAGCTTTGGCCCCTCCCCCACCCACCTGGGGTGGCAGGGCTCGGGCTTTGGTCCTCTTCCACATACCCCCCCCCCAAGGGGGAGGGTCATATAGTAATTTTTGTTGTCAGAAGGGGGTCATGGTGCAATGAAGTTTGAGAACTGCTGCTTTAGACAGGTGGCCATCCTGTGTCCAGCAATGGCTAGTACCAGGTATAAATGTCTCATAATAGAAATAGACATTTGTGCAAAAAGTGCCTATGCAGAAAGTGTCTTCCTAATACCAGGAAGCTAGGGGTTAGTTTATTATCTGAAGCATGAGGACTGATATCCTCTGAAAACGTTAATCATTGCTACAGTACTGTAGTTGTTGGAGATACATTTTTTCCCCCATGACTGTCTAAACCTTTTTTTGAATCCCACTAAGCTCTTGGCCTTATTATATTTTGTGGTAGCAAGTTTCACAGATTTATTTCCCGTTGTGTAAAAAAAGTATTTCTTTTTAGCAATTTTGTGTGTTATTTTTAAATATGTTAGGTGTCCCCTTGTATTATCAGATGAGATAAATTGGACCTCTTCCATATATTTTATTATTTTACTTACCTCTTTCATGCACCTTGTGCCTCTGATCCATATCCTCTTTAAACTAAAGAGTCCAAAATGTCTTTTTTAAACAACTTTATTTTCAGAGTTTATTGAGGACTGATGCAAGATCAATAATCTTTGATTGCATACAAACAAAAATCCACTTAACTTACTGGAAGGGTAAAGAATATCATGTACATTCTGTAGTAAGCAAAAGATAATTGACATTAATGCAGTAGGCAAGGAGATTATATAGCACGCTATTGACTGTGTGTTTGTTACTGCTGTTTAGTGGATTACTTAAGTGGGTATTTTTAGTCTCTTTTATATGGAAGACATTGCATGTCTCTAAGCATTTTCATACATGCAAGGAAATCAATTTTATATGTTGCAAAAATTCCTGGCAGAATTAAATGAATACAATTTAGTATCAATTTTTGCTTATATTTTTAATATTCAGCTAAAATATATAAGGCAGAAAATCTGCTATTTACATGGCTCTGGATTTATCAGTGCATTTTCTCAATGAAAATATATTTTTAATGAGCAAGAACTGTGCAAATCTAAATACATAGATACAGGATGATTAATTAAAAATACAAAAACATTGGATCATTGCTTTTGCATTACGAATTTTAATGTACTACATATATGTAATATTGCCCATAGACTAATATTGTTCATGAATCTTGTAATAAGCTTAGTGGAACATGGGAAGCTTGTAATAGTGGTTTGAATATCTACTATAGTAATCAGAATTACAGCATACAGTTCAGTTCTCCTGTATCCTTTCTTCTGTCATTTCCTCACTCTCAAGTAGACTAGATGTAGAGATGGACCAGAACAAAACCCAGGGTTAAAAAAACACCATACTTTGAGAAGGTGCAGGTCCACATTGGAAAACCCCTGAACTTCGGCAAGCAGTCTGTCTCTAATTAGACTATCAGTGTCTCATTGCATAAATAATCTGAAGGAGAAAGAGAGTGTTGTAAGGGAATCCAAACAAAAGCCTTCCAAAACACAGCTAAAGGAAACAGTAATCCCATAGCAAATTGTCTATAAAAATTAAGTGTACAGAGAATTTATCTGATGGTGATGCTTGTTGGCTAAACTACAATAATCAGACACCAGCTACCAGGGGTTATCTGCTATGTAATCCTATCCTAGTAGATTAAATTCATGTGAGTCTGTTGCTAATGAAAAAAAACACCTCTTGCTGGGCTGTTTTTCTCCCAAAGTATGCTGATAAATTAATAAATAAATAAAAAATTAGGGCTTGATCCATCCCCATGCACATGTCAGGGTGCTCTCAGCACCCTGTGAACCTTTGGCCACTCCAAGGAAGAGCAGGCTGTAGTATAGGTTTGCCAACTTTGCTTGGATGTATTCCTGAAGGTTTCATCACGACATAATCTTTAATTAAAGATTAATTTTTAATTCCTGGAGACTCCAGGACAGTGGTGGGCAACCTGCGGCCGCATGCGGATAATCTGCTGGCGGGCCACAAGACAGTTTGTTTACATTGACCGCCTGCAGGTACGGCCGCCCGCAGCTCCCAGTGGCCACAGTTAGCCGTTCCCAGCCAATGGGAGCTGCGGGCTGGCTGCCGTTTCCCACAGCTCCCATTGGCTGGGAACGGCAAACCACAGCCACTGGGAGCTGTGGGCGGCCGTGCCTGCAGACGGTGAATGTAAACAAACAGTCTCGTGGCCCGGCAGCAGATTACCCTGACGGGCCGCAGGTTGCCCACCACTGTTCCAGGACTGTCTTGGAGGGTTGGCAACCCTACTGTAGTACCACTGCCATCCTCCATCAGGGAAAGACAGCTTTAAACATCACCAGTGCTCTGCAGAAGACCACTGACAGAGGCTGGCCTGAAGATTCTGTGAATCAGCAGTACTCCCAGTTGCCTTGTCTCTTACCTGACCGCTGGCCACACTGGGCAACTCGGAACCCAGAGTGTTACTCCACTATATATCTAATCCAGGTGGATTTTCCACCAGTAGTATCTGAATCCAATAAGTTAATTGGGCCTTAAAGTTTAGCCATGATGTTTAATATTGTGGGCTTAGAATTTTTTCTGGATATTGAAGAGCTAGTCTGGGCTATTCCATAAGGATAACATGCAAAGAGAGGTTACTGAGTAACTTGACATGCTGTGGAAGAGTGATGCTAATAGACTCTTTTTAATGCTGTAGCTTATGCTGAAACATTCATCTGTAGGTTGAGGATGGTTAAAATAACCAATCATCTTAACAGCATATTTTTAAAGGAAGCTGAGTTTCTATGTAAGTTGTTTCCTGTTGAATTTTAGGGATCAATGTCTGTGAAAAGTATTTGTCTGAAAACTGCCGTGTTAAATATGCAGCTTTTTAATACCTCGCAACATATTCAAGCTAGGAAATTTGCCCATTTAATATACAATTTGTTTTCTCATTCCGTTGCATTTTGTTGTGAAATGAGCTTGATGTTTATTGTATTAGAGATGAAAACCTCTTGATAAACCCTTCAGTTTTTCTATTACCAGTTGTTTATTCAGCTTTCATTGTGTGTTTGTTAAGATAATGAAAAAAGAGGAAACATGGCTGTTAGCAATTTCAGCAACCTCATTGCATGCACATTATTCAAGAAACCTAATAATCCTCATGAACTAATTCTGACTTATGGATGATCTGCTTCACTAAATCAGGGTGATTTTCTCTGGTGAATAATGGACAAGTGTAGTGTGCCAGTACCTTAATTAAAGAAAGCCTCTCTTAGTCTTGATCTCATTTTAATTTACAGGGTAATACTACAATAATATCACTAATGGAAGGTACATTAAAGGGCATCAAGTAGCATTAACTGTATTAAATTATGGCACTTGTGTTAATTAACTGCTGAAGCAAGATGGTCCTAATGGCTAGAAAGGTCAACTAATGAATAAATAAAGCCTGTGAAGATGGGAAAGTAAGAGAGGGTAGACATTTGCTCTGTTCATCTCTTTTTGAGCAGAAAGAATCAAAGGCTGGTCCATGAGACTAAACTCTAAATTTTTTCTTATTACGCTGCTTGAAGAGGAGGATTTTATGGCTCTGAATATCTTTGATTAATTGAAAAGTTATGTCCTGACAGTCACTTGTGAGTGACAGTCACTTATGCTTTCTGTAGGAAATGTTCATTAAGAGTCTAATACCAAGTCTTTGAAGCCCAGGGAAAGGCTCCTATTGACTGAAAGGGGCTTTGGATCAGGATCCAGAAGGGTAACCATGTTAATTCTTAGAGTAAAGAATAAATAACCGTTCAGTTTTACTGTTATACTTTTAATGGTATGTATGTTATATGCTGTATATTGACAAAAGT